CGATCTCCCCAAAACCCCAAAACCCCAAAACCCCGTTAAGAAAAATAAAATAAAAAGAATTAATTAATAAATCAAATATTAAAATAATTTATGGGTACATAACAAAATCCATCAAATCAATCTGGGTTTAACCTTAGACCTTAATTAATATGTAGTAATTTAAGATAGTAAAGACTTTTTCACAGGACTTACTCTTAAATTAGTCTTTTCTCTGCAAAATTATCGATTCTCTTAGGATTCAATAAGCATAGGCTTTGGCAATAGTTACAGCGGCTTTTTAGAGTAATTTTCATGGGAAACAGCAAATACTGACCTTGAATGCTATTAATTCTCCTAGATTATCTAAATATCATCATCTTAAGAAGAGGAATTTTCATCGTTAGCTGCCAAATCAAATATATCAGGCTATTTATTCAAGGCAGGACTTTAGTTTAAAGCATCAGTTGGCTTTAATTCTTTGGACTCATTTTAAGCAATTTAATCTATTTTTATGGGGGACTCTGATTCTGGTTACTAACCATTATTTGTAACCTTAATTTGAACATCAGACTTTGATGGTTCTTGATCAATTAAATCTGACTTAAGAAATTCAGCTTTTGCAGTCATACTTCTTTCCAAAATTTCTCTGAATTTATCATCATGAATATATTTATCCACACATCTCTATAAAGAAAAAGCCTAATACAAGAAAAAAATTATTACGATTAAGACTGTATCACATGTAAAGTCAAATGAAGCCTAAATTTTATATCTATAATTTGAATCCAGATCGATCACTATCCTATCTCTGTGATCTGGTCTTTTTTCTATATCAAGTTATTTAAATTATATTATTTACTTTATACAATATGTCTCATCAAGAACTATAAGTCATGATTCCTTAGACTCAATTTAAATTTGCCTTTTGCAATCCTACTAGATATTTCATCGAACTTCCTTGTTATTTATTCTTAAAGAACATCATATTTGAATTACTCTCTCTTTGTTAACAAATAGATTGAGGGCAATTTATTCTGAAATTATCTAATTGAGTGATTCTGTGTAGCTAACTTCAATTAATTCTCATCTTCAGAAGATTGGAAAGAAGCATTTGGAAATATCTTTTGCATGAATTATTCTTTGCAATTCATTGATTGAGGAGAAGAATGAAAATCATCATTTGATTAAGTCTTAATAGGGCTTATTCTAAATGTAGCTTTTAGTGGAGGTGATAGTTCCTCAACTACTTACTAAGAGGATGGATATTTTAGAAAATCTTCAATTTAAATGCATCTATACTCCTCTTTAGATGTTGTACTAGATTTTGGGGTTTTGGAGGCCTTTACTAACTACTATGTCTGAAGTTCGAACTAATTAAATATTAGTTGTAGTGGTGAGGTTGAGTTTTGCATATTATTTTTTGGGAGAAAACTTTAGATCCATATTGGTGAACTGCTTCTAGGAGAAGAACGAATTATACCTTATAATGGAGATTTCTTTGATTCATGAATATCCTTAAAATTTTGGGGGTTTTCATTTAATAATGGAGCTGATTCTGGTTTCAATTACTTGAAAGTATCAATCTATTGCTTGATTGAGAATATTTCTTCATTTTTTTCTTGAGATTACTTTTATTAGCAGGATACTTCTAGTTTTTAGAGATTATCCAAATATTAAGATTATGTAATCTCCTGAACATCTTCACTATCATCGTCCTGTACTTCAACTTTAGCCTAAATCTTAATATTAGTATCTTTCATTAATGGGCGCATTGATATCTTAATGGGACTTAGTTTCAATTCTGCATATTCATCCTTAATGAAATCTTCCTCTATTATCACTTGATTATCATCATCATCAAATGATTCATCCTTCATCAAAGCGTCTTATTGAGTTTCAGAATTGATGATTTTATCCTATTCAGATTATTCAATATTCTCCTTCTCTTAAAAGATTACTTATTAGGAAGGTAGTTATTTCTCCTCTATGGAGATGGGCTTTATAAATTCTTATTCATTAGGGTTTGGTTTTGAATCTTCCTCAGAAATATGAATGTTGAATTCGAAATCACTCTCAATTTAGTGAGAAACAGCGGTTACTATATCTACCTTATTTTGACTCAGTTCCTTGCAATTATCCTGAAAATTTATCTTTTTAGGCCTTCCTCTAGATCTTTTTTGTAAAGATTTTGAATGAGAGACAAAGGGATCATTAGTTTCATTTCTAGGAAACACCTTTTTTTCTTCTTCACTTTACACTGATTAGTTTAGACTTTGGATATCTTTTTAATTAGTTTTTCAATCTAGTTTAGACTCTCTTTTTCTTAGATTATACTTTGAAGGAGAGCTTATTTAGAAAATAGATGTAACTTGCTTTTGAGGCTTTTCTTTCTAAATTGATTTATGTACACTTTAAGCTTATGGTATTGTTATATCTTCTGATGATAAATTCAATTTTACTGAGCCTTTGCCAAGACTTGGTTCTAATTCAAGCGATACAGGTAAATCTTGCATTGTTTATTTAGACTTAAGCTCCATTTCCTTGATGATTGCTATTCTATCTTAGAAACTTATATCTCTCTGCTTTTATTCCTCTAATTTCTATATTAAAAATATTAAGAATAGTATAGCAAAGAAGTAATACAAGGAGGCAATCATGACTGATGATTTTAAATACTAATATCTTACCTTATTGTTTTTTTCTTGAATTTATTGATTTTTTTCTCTCGTTCTTTGTTCCTCCCTTTGTTTCAAGATTTTACTAAAGAGCTCATCATCATTATTATCCTTTTCACTGTCGGAATCAGATAATCTTATTTGAACAATTTTTCTTTTAGCTAAAAGTCCTTTATTCCTTTAAATCTGTTAAGGGGTAAGTGAAGGCATTGGCTTTCTAGTATTAGGATTATCAATGTGGTAGATTCCTTCTCTTTGTACTAGTTTTGCTCTTTGCTTGAGAAACTCTGGGTCATCATTGAGGATTTATATTTCATGATAGATTGAGGGAATAAGCAATGCCTATTTTTTAGTCTCTAAAGTTTTAGTTTACTAATTTTCCTTGATTGAGACAATTTATGCAGACACTTATGAGATAGTATCAATCTCAGAAGCTCTGTTGAAGCAACTTGAAAACTTATTGACAGAAAGGGTATTTCTGCAATCTCCATTGAATGAGGCTGCACTTTTGGCCTAAGGCCTCATAGGCAGGAGTCTTTTAGGTGAGTAAAGATCTTCTTAAAATTCTTTAGAAGATGGCATGAGTTAGCCTGGCTTGATAAACTGCTTGCTCCTCTTGGATTCAATCCTGTAAAGATTTCTCTTTCCCTATACTATCCTCTTTTTCTTGACTTCTTCTACGCAATATAATTGCAACTCAGCATCCATTTTAGAGAGAATACTGCCGTGCTTCAGCATCCATCGAAGTTTTTACTCAATTTTTTCTACATCCTCATCTTAGAATTAGTTGTCAACAAATCTCCCCTTATTTTTATCATACTTCCTTCCTAATATTGGCTCATTCTTTGCCTCTGCGGCTTTCAAAGCTAAAATTAAAGGTAGGTTTTAAAATGAAATAAAGATGATTTGATTACCTTGAGTGTACCTTGCAAAGTTATTTTGATTGATTCTCTCATAGTGCTTTCTTTGTTCTTCTAAATCAAATGGCTTTATGATGTTTATCTTTGGTTTCCTAAAGATAATTATCAATTAAGAGTATCTTACATTACTTCAATGTATTGCTGCTTGATTCTCTCATTTTTCTCTGCGAAATCATTTGAAGATTTCTTAAACTCAGTTTGTGAGTCAGATTGATCAATCATTATCTCATCAATTGCTTTTAAAGAAGGAGTTGATTTTGCAATGTTATCTTTGATCGGATTTTCATGAACTTTTTCTGACATTGGAGCATCATTTTAAGGTGATTTAGTCGGTTCCATGACTCTTTGAGACTATTTTGTAATTTTCTTAAGCATTTGTTCAAGGTCACTGCTTTCATCATTGATTGAATTTTGTGAGGCAACATTATGAATTGAGAGTGAGTCTATTATAGGCTCTGATCCATGATCGAATTCTCTAAAATCTGATAGATTTTCCTCTTCAAATAGGTCGTAGTTTTGGGCTCTGGTGCATTCATTTCCAGTGATTGAGTTTAATGCAGAAGTCTTAGAGCCGAACTAGTGCTCTGGATCTAACAATTATTTGTTTGTCTAAGTCAAGTTCTCACTTAGTTTTCGTTCATGGACCAAGTTGTGTGAGTCCTGATAAGTCAAGAGAGTGCGACCAAATGCAATATTATCCTAGCTTGCAGTTCCTTAAATTTGATTTTTGAAGTGAAGTTGTGAGTCTATAATATCAAATTCAGGTGGAGGGCTTCCACTGAAATCTCCTATTCCAAATTAAGTGTCGTCAATGAAGGCTGACTAAATTTGAGCTTTTGTGATTTTGCTATTAATCATTCAATAAATTAATATAATTATTATTAAAGGAGACATGACCTTAATATATGAATTATCTTATGGAAAATTCTGCCAATTAGATAAAATGTGAAATCACACTATCACAATATTTACTTCATTGAGTTTGGTTGCAATCGAGTATAATTGGCAGAAAGTGAAATGAAAAATCCAGAGAAGGATTAGGAATTTCGTTAAAATTGGCTTTACCTTTTGATTTGGAATCTGATATTATCTGATCCAAGTTATTAATCACTAATTTAATCTTAAGAAGATACTTTTCAATAAATGCGTATCTTTTACAAACCTCTCTAAAATTATTTCAGTTTACTCATGGGGTTTTGGGGTTTTGGGGTTTTGGGG